AACAAACAAATCGGAGGTAAGTAAAACATTATTATATAATTATAAATATAATTCATATATTAACTGTTTCATATTACACAATATTATCCTTATATTAAATCTACGATTAACTTACAAGTTATAATAATAATAATCAGGTACACATTTCTATTCTATTATTAATATTCTAAAACATTGTAAAGTCCTCTTCCGAATCTCGAACAACTTTAAGCCTATATTATTACTTTTTTTTCATTATCTGGAACAACACTCGTACACCGATTATTATTTTTTTGACTCAGGAAATTTTCAGTCTCACTATTTGAAGGAGGAGTAATTGACTCATCTGGTTCAACTGAGTTTCAGACTTTTTAATGCTCAACAGAGTTACCAGTTCTTGTTTTCTCATCTGATGCAAAAGATTTTCTAGTCCTGAAATTTGAAAAATAATTTTTTGTGGGTTTAACTGATGCAACAGAGTTATCAGATGATGAATCTGTTGACTCATCATCTGATGACATAGAATATTTTGTCTCGCCAATGTGAAGTGCATCAATTGATTCATCTGATGAATTAGAACTTGAACTAGACTCATCATCAGTTGACATTGAATGATTATCCTCATCGATGAAGAGTGCATATCGTCTGAATCATCTGATGCAAAAGATTCAAAGTCAAAATCTTGGAATTTATTTGCTGCCTGGATGGATGTTTTTAGATCATCAGTCGACATTGTCTCTTTAATGTATTTTTTGAGGACGAGTTTGATGCAAAAGAATTTTCCTGGGAATAATCTGCTGGCTCAAGGGATTTATTTGCATCATTAGTTTGCTCATAAGTTTTGTCAGATTTATTTGTGCAGGCATTGTCTCCATCTTGTTAGATTCAATATATTTAGAGGATGAGGTAGAACAGGTTGTCTCATCAATGTGAAGGGCATCACTTGACTCGTCTGATGCAAAAGAATTTTTCAAGTTCCATATCCTGGATGGATGTATTTGCATCATTAGTATGTTCATCAGTCTTGTCAGATTTATTTTGTGTAGACCGGATCTCTTTAAACTTGTCAGCCTCAATATCTTTTGAGGATAAAATTGTCTCATCATATAGTGCATCATTCGACTCATCTGATGCAAAAGAATTCAAGTTCCATATCCTGGATGATGTATTTGCATCTTTAGTTTGCTCATCAGATTTAGATTGTGTAAACACTGTCTTTTTACATTTGTGATCATCAACATCTTGATCTGTATTAGATATTGACAAACTTTGACTTTGATTTGATTGACTCGTCTGGTGCAATAGAAACTTCAAAATCAACATGCTGTGTTTCATTTGGTGGCTTGAGTGATTTTTTGCAACATCAGTTGGTTCAGCAGTCTTGTCTCTAGATGAGTTGGCCTCCAAATCTTGAGTGCACTTGGATTACTTGATGATTCAATTATTTGGTTGAGCACTTGAGTTATCTGTGGACTTTATCTCATCAGCTTCAGTTTTTTTGTGCTGATTTGTTTGTTTTTTCTACTGTCTTTCTATCTAAATCTGTCTTCTCTGACTTATTACCTTCCTCTGATTTTGGATCTTTTCTAAGAAAATTAAAATAGACAAATTCTTATAGTCTATACCATCTTTTACTTTGGAAAAGGTTTTCTGATCTTTTTGGGAGGTCTCACAGCTCATTCGGTGGCCTACCTTTCCCTCTAATAACGTTTCCATCAGGATCAAATACATTAATGATAATTTTGGTTTTACAGGATATATGCGAGGTCTACCTGGTGGTCGTTTTACTTTCGTCTCCTTTTTGGTGGATGTAACATCAGTCACTGGTGTCTTGTTATGATTAGATTTTTTTTGATGTCTTCTTATGGGCAGATGCAACATTAGTGATTGATTTCTTATTGTGATCAGCTTTTTCTGACTGAACATCAGTCACTGGTGTCTTATTGTGATCAGATTCTTCTGACTGAACATCTGTCACTGGTGTCTTATTATGTTTAGATTTTTCTAATGTCTCCTTATGGGCAGATGCAACATCAGTGATTGATTTCTTATTGTGATCAGATTCTTCTGACTGAACATCAGTCACTGGTGTCTTATTGTGATCAGATTCTTCTGACTGATCATCAGTCACTGGTGTCTTATTATGATAGATTCTTCTGATGCAACATCAGTCACTGGTATCTTCTTATGATCACATTTTTTCTGATGCAACATCAGTCAATAATGTCTTATTGTGATCAGATTCTTCTGACTGAACATCAGTCACTGGTGTCTTATTATGATAAGATTCTTCTGATGCAACATCAGTCACTGGTGTCTTCTTATGATCACATTTTTCTGACTGAACATCAGTCACTGGTGTCTTATTGTGATCAGATTCTTCTGACTGAACATCAATTACTGATGTCTTATTGTGATCAGATTCTTCTGACTGAACATCAGTCACTGATGTCTTATTATGATCAGGTTCTTCTGACTGAACATCAGTCACTGGTGTCTTATTGTGATCAGATTTTTCTGATGCAACATGAGTGATTGATTTCTTATTGTGATCAGCTTTTTTTGACTGAACATCAGTCACTGGGTTTTTATTATGATCAGATTCTTCTGACTGAACATCAGTCAATAATGTCTTATTATGATCAGATTCTTCCAACTGAACATCAGTCACTGGTGTCTTATTGTGATAAGATTCTTCTGACTGAACATCAGTCACTGGTGTCTTATTGTGATCAGATTCTTCTGACTGAACATCAGTCACTAGTGTCTTATTATGATAAGATTCTTCTGATGCAACATCAGTCACTGTGTCTTCTTATGATCACATTTTTCTGATGCAACATCAGTCAATAATGTCTCATTTGTGATCAGATTCTTCTGACTGAACATCAGTCACTGGTGTCTTAGTGTGATCAGATTCTTCTGACTGAACATCAGTCCCTGATGTCTTATTATGTTTAGATTCTTCTAATGTCTCATCTGTTTTATCAGTATCTTTTTCTTCGTTCACCAGTGAATCATAAGCTTTGGTAGATAACTCATCCAAATTAAACGATGTATCCATATCATAATTGTTTATATTTTCATCAGTTCCTTGTATAACAGTTTTGTCCATAATATTTGAATCTGATATTGCCTGGTCGCCCATAATTTCAGGAAGATCATCTATAAAGCACAAGTCTTGCAAATAATTGAGAATATCCATAGCTTTTTCATTAGCAGCCTCATCATCTTCAACTGAAGAAGAATTTTCATCTGTATTGTTTTGTAAGTTGTCTTGACTTTTCCTTCAGATGATACTGCTTGATCCATGTATCTTGCTTTTACTATTTTCATGTTGATCCTTTTCCTGAACAGATTTTCTTGTATTTTATTTACTGTCGTTTTTTTAGATTCATTTGCTTTTGCCGGTTTTTGACTTTCTGCTTTCATCATCAAATGTTGTTTGCTTTCCTCATTTTTTATATCATCTTCAATGCTTAGCATTTCAATAGATTTTTTACTCCTTGGTTTCATTGTTTCTACACATTGTTTTTTCTGTAGGTGTTAGCTTCTTAATTCTATCTTTCTTCACAGATTTTTTCTTCTGCTCTTTTGTATTAGGTTTTCTTTGTTCCTTTGGTAGATTCTGTTCTTCTATATCAGATATAGGCATCCCAAATACTTGTGCGCTTGACTCATCATTAGATTTTGCTGGTAAACTTGTTTGTACATCAGCCAAGTGGAATCTTTTGTATCATTGTTTTAATAGATTCTTTATTCTGCTCCTTTGCATTAGGTTTCTTTATCCCTTCGGCTAATTTTGATCTTTAGTGTCTAATTTAGGCAAGCTAATTCTTGTGAGCTTGACTCATCATTGGATTTTGCTGTTGAACTTGGTGTCCATCAGCCAAAGTATTAACAGATTGTTTTTTTCTGCAACTCTGTTGTGTCATTGCTATTAACAGATTGTTCCTTCAGCTCATTTGCTATTTGCTTCTTTGTGTTTTCGGTCGCTTTGTGGTCTTCCATGTCTAATATAGGCATGCTAATCCTGATGAGCATGATTCATCATTAGAGTTTTCTGTTGACTTGTTTGCCCATAGTAAAGGTTCATTGTTAGTATATTTAGTTTTTCTGAACATTCTAAGATTTATCAAACCTTTGTTATACTGTATAGACATGTAGCGTCCATGGAACTGTTTTGAGATTGTCTTGGCTCACTTAATCTGTTGTCATTGGCAGCAATTTGTTTTGTCTCTTCTTGTATTGTATTGGAATCTTCATTTGAATGTTTTGGGGACTTAACCATTATCTTTTAAATCCGCTCAATCTCTTGTTCAACAAGTTTTACTAGCTTCTTTTTTGATGCACCATTGTCTATTAATTAATTCTTTATTTGTTGATTCTGATATTTCATTTCTTCAGGAATAATCTAGTGTTACCTTCTCCAAGTAACTGACTTTCTTCTTTAAATCATCATCAACATAGACAGCATTCTTCCAAAACTCCATTATACTCTCTGTTGAATTCAAGGCATCACCAGGCTGCTCTTGTGTACTACTTCTTGAAGATTTTATTGATGAAATTGATGATTGTGTACTGATTGAATTTGTATCATCATCGTAAGATCATTTTTCTTCACCCTTCATCATCTTCAAATTTGGTTCGGAAGCTGTAGAAGTTGGTGTAATGTTAGACAGACATCCTTCTCTGTTATATTATTTTCTTCATGTTCTGTTGGTGGTTCATCATGATGACCAATATTAATGTTAATTTTGGGAATCAATGGCTTTCTAACAACTGTTTTATTAGATCCATCA